ATAACAAATTCGTCCGAAAATGAAGTTGTACCGTGGAAATTCTTCTTTTTAGCCACACACACATCGGTACGGTTTTGTCGTTTAAGCATGGCATCGGAAGAAATTTCAACTTCGCCAATTCGAGTGGATACTCATTCGAGAGGGACCAAGGAACGCGGATGCATTTATGGCCATTGAGAAACACCTCCACACGGTTTTCTTTTTTCCAATTAACATCTTCAGTAGGATGTGTGTGCCTTTGTATTGAGCCGATGACAAGCGCGGGGCAACCCCCCTCCCCGTGCGATTAGTGCCCTAGCGTCACAATGTCAACTTTATGTTAATACCAATTAAGGTTTATCGTTACTATAAATTAGATTATTATACCAATAAATGTTTTTTGTCACTAATACAATATCTTACTGCGGATTGAAATTAAACTGCTTATCAAAATTTATTTTGACACAATTAAGGATGTATAGAGACTCAATCCCAACACAATTTATTGTATCTATATGTCAATATTACGGTTACATAAACTCAAATCTTTAATACCACATCTTTAGCATTGGATTCAAACCCATATAGATACGTATTCCATGCGGTTTTCTTTTTTCCAATCAATGTCTGTGGTGGGGTACGTATTCCTTTGTATTTAGCCGATGACAAGTGCGGGGCAACCCCACCCTGTTCGATTTGTGCCCTAACCGTCACGAGCGGTTAATCTGTGCACATGTGTTTACTTCCTAGAATTCTATTGTAAGGCGTTTCATTCGGAGACTCATATCAATTTTATTTACCGGTGCTTGCATAGCCTAAGCTTTGAGTAATCGTCTCAATACTTGCCTTCTTCATGACAAATAATTTTTCTTATTTCTTGAAATTGTGATAAATAGAGCGCGAAATGAACAAGGTAGCTTTGCCCCACACTTTTCATTGGCTGAGTGAATAATATGTTGGGAATTACACCACCAACCTCACTCCGGTTGTGAGAAAAAAAATTGGTGGGCACCGTTGTTTAATTTATACACTATATTTTAAATTTACAAGTAACAAAAAAATTTTCCAATGTGAAAGACGAGTATATTAAGGGATTTTGTTTCGCTTTGGAAATAGTATTTGTTAATTTAAGTTTACACCGATACCCAACAACTAGAAATGGGAACACTTTATTGGATGCGTTTCTTACATATAAAATTAGTATACCAAATGTCCCTATAATAAGACCCTAGTATGCAATAGTGTATTAGATACTTGTATGTTAGAATATCATGCTTACTATGTACTTTTTAATGTAGGCTTTTGTTAAAGTTACCTTTTAGCTGATCATTGCTTTAGTAGAAGGCGTAGTTGCTATATGTTACTGTTGCTATCTATATAAACTATATTTTGTTTTATACAGTATTATTTTCCTGGCAACAATGAAAGTTATTATGCGTATGGTATACGAAAAATGGTAAACACAAGTACATTAATAGTTACTAGATTAGTTTATTAGTTTTTTGTTTTTTTTTAATGAATGTAATCATGTAACACTATATAAGTTCCTTTATTGTGAAGTGTGATGGTGGCATAATCTTCACAAAAAATCTATATTTTATAGATATTCTATCCTATCTTCACCATGGATTCCCAATCTAATTATATCCCAGATCACAGTGCCTTTGGTAAACGGGATGAAATTTTTGAAGAGGAAATTTTTCCTAAAATTAGTTGAATAATCGACATTCTGAAGATACAGGTGTTGAACAAGTCTTGGAAAGAAAAGGCCGGATTGAGAATCAACAAAAATGAAGACATCGATTGGAGCCAACTCGAAAGTTGTTGATGCAAACCGTTATTTCTCCGTGCTAAAGTACACACATCAATTCGGGATGTCGGACGGTGCGACGAGTGCGGGTGGGCAATAAACTAGAGGATGAAGGTTTTCCAACGGAGTGTCGACTACTTTATCAAAACTCACGGCGTCATAAAGAAAACTCCTAATTACTCGGCGTGGCCTGGGAGAAATTATATGTTAGTAGGAAAAAAGCATGAAGATTATGTTGTTGATGAAGCAATTTTGTGTGTGGAGAAACAATCAACATAAAATTTATTTTCTAATGCTTTTTATATTATTGTTGTTTGTGTATTAGAATGATAATAATTTTGAAATCGAAATGTTTCTGAAGCTGAAGATATGTGGCTTTAACCATTGTACCGAATTACAATAAACACAATTTCCTTATCGATCATACATTCATTCTATTATAAAACTATGATTTGCAATTACTATAAATTAGTTGAAGGGTGTGTATGAAATTTTTATACATACTTACCGTATTATAAATGTAACTGTCACATTATGTTTTGAAAATGAAAGTAAATAATCATAACTGTTTACAAAAATAAAATATAATTTTTTTTTTAAAACTCCCCTCCCCCCCCCCCCCTAAAAAAATATAATAATAATAATAATAATGATAATAATAATAATAATAATGATAATAATAATAATAATAATAATAATAATAATAATAATAAAATAATAATAATAATGATTGACCTATTATAATTTGTAATATCATTTGATATGTAGAAAACTATATTTTTAAATATTTTAAAAGTACATACATATTTTTTTTATTATTTTAATATCAATAAATACTAATGTTAAACAAGATAATATGTTTTTAAACAAATGTTCACACTTTATCTAATTTTTGTATTTCCTGAAATAATTATAGTATCCACACAAATTACTGTAAAATCTTCTATAATTTAAAACAAATGCTTCAAATATTCCTCTATTTAAATAAAATAATTTTTTGATCGTACATTGTATTTGTTACGAGATACACCGTAAAATTTAAGGGATTAAAGTTTGGAAATATGAATATTGTTAAATTTGTAATATTAATGTTAAATCATAATTATTGTATTGGGAAATTACAAATAGTTATATTTTATTATTATTATTTTTTTTTAAAAAGCTGCCTTTTCCATGTTCCCAATGCATAATAACAGTGGCATGCATTAAAATTTCCATCAACCACCAAATAATGACGTTGCATTCTGATAAAAAAAGACGTTGCATTAAGCCCTAAGAGATTGGCGGGAAACACGTATTGTACCAACTAGATATTAAAGTACATTCGTTACTAATTAAATATGTTTGCTACATGTAAGTGCTTAATGTACCAACTCAAATATTGCTTAGGTTACTAGCTTCCGATGGTGTTGTAATGAAAATGTCCACAGAATTCCCACCCTTATCCAATTTTGGCGGAAAAATGCATAAAATAAATTATAGTTGAGTTCTTACAACATATTAAGTATCCTAATGTCCCTTCTATATATATGCACCTTGTTAGTTATGATCATCACAAAAAAGCAACTCAAAACAATATAACCTTCTCAAAATCTAATCCTTTGTTTTTCTAATACACCTTATATCAAAGAGAAACTTCAACTACCATGAATTGTATTTCCCATCAAAATAAAAGACAGAAACTGTCTTTTTGGGAAGATGAAGTGGAAGAAGATGTGTACTACCCAGACCATGAAGCTTACGGTAAATGGGAAGAAATCTTTGAAGTAGAAATCTACCCCAAAATTATAGGATGTTTTGACATCATGAAGCTTCAACAACTTAACAAATATGGGATGGAGAAGGCAGGGAAGAGAATCAACGCTAGTAAGAACATTAACTGGAGCCTTCTTGAGAAGATATTATGTTTTAACCCCGTGCCTTCCTGTCCAAATCAGCATAAAACCCTCAAAGATGTTTTGAGATGCTGGGTTTGTTAATGGACTGTGAATTGGAAGACCTACGCTTACAAAAAAAAGACATTGAATACTACACAACCACTCATGGGGGCCTAAAAGAACACATCGAGGCTTACAAGGGCTTTTATTGGCATATTATTGTCGAAAACCAGATGCAGAAAAAGAAGAAGAACTAATTGTTTGCATGGGATGGATTATGAAGTGTCCTTTTATTTATGTTTTTAGTTTTTTACACGTGTTTTCTTTTTGGTTTAAAGTTTAAATTATCTTCTACCTTGTCTTGTTCTCTGTTTTTGTTATATTTTACCTTTGTTGTTGTCTTTATTTTATGTTTTTAAATGTTGTGCTCTCTCTTTTGTTCAGGTTTTAGCTTTATGATATGCCTAAAACTATTATATGAATGATCATAAGTGTTTTAATAGATCATCTTCTTATTCCACAAAAACCAAATAATCACTAAATGTTCCTGTAAAAAAAAATTACAACCAAAGTAGTTACTAAATTAATAAATAATTAGTACAGGACTACAGGATATTTTATTAAACTAGCCCACTATATTAATCAAGCAAATATGCACTTCTGTGAATATTTACAAAATTTACATGCGTTTGAATTAAATTTCCTTATACATTTTACAACTTGTTACTGGATTGGTGCCTGATTATATTTTTGTATTACCACAGGTAAAAAGAAATGCAGAAGTTTAAAAATTCTTGGGACCGGGAAGCATAACAAGAATTGAACACATTACATTCTAAAATGTTTAGTAGTTTGCATTTATATATTGCTAACGTATTACTTCTAGCCCGCTATATCTATCTAAAAATTGTTTAAAGGTTTACATAAGTTTAAGCACCTATTTTTGTTTTAATAATTACGAGTTTTTTTATTACACTCCGTCACATAAACTCCATAATAGTAAACTTAACACAAAGATTTTCCCTATTTGCTATCATTACAATTAATTTTTGTATGATGCCCTAAATAAATAATAGTTAATAACCAGAAGCATATAAAAGGGAACCAAAACTAGAACCTATAGTCTCCTATCTTTTTTTTAAACGGTTTAGACTCCTATCTTGTTTACCTATTATTTTGACCGTTGACTTTGTAAAGATCACCCCTAAAATAAAACCATAATACCAGTGTTAAAACTTTTTTTTTACACAACTTTAGTTTTAACAATTATTGATGCCTAATCGGCTTAGCTTGTTATTTGATGATTGTTTATTAACAATAACCCATAGAATATATGATAGATATATAATTATATATTTCAATTATTACTTAAACTACACTTAAGTTATTTGACAAAAATACACACCTTATCCTACAATATACTACCATAATTAATAATATATGTGCAACCAAACCAGTTTTGTTAGGTAAAAAGGTTAACTTGCACTACAAATCATACAGACATCAAATATTCTGGTTTATCAAACTAGTTTTGCATACCCCCCCAAAAAAAAGAAAATGTTCAACGAAAGGATTTGCAGCAGTAACAAAGTCCCACACTGCTCCAAGTATCTTGTTTATTTCATCCATCAAGATTAGTAATCACACAACATGCTGCCTGTAAAAACCAATCATCATCTCAGTACCACTGGTTCAAAGTGAGCAAATTTTACTTTTAGCATTCATATTTCAATTAAGGGAAAGTAATTTAAGTAAATAGTTCAGTTGTTAAATGCACGCACTTGTCAACGCCGTCGAATGTGACCCTCAATACAGCCGTAGTCATCGATATCCAAAATTCCCACCATTAACATCTTTTTTGTTTACTGATCATCATTGCTGGATTTTTAATGCGGGGGCTTCTTCTTGGAATGTTTGTCGTTGTAGGGGAATTTTGAATGGTATCTGCAGGAGACATGGGAATGCGCTCTGAAAGAGCTTTGTTGCCGGAGCTTCTTCTTTTAGGAGCACTCTCTTGTGGAGCTTCCCCCTCTGGCCTCATCTCTGCAGCATCTCCTGTGCGGCTGATCGTCACTGCTGGATCTTTATTGCGGGGGCTTCTTCTTGGAAGGTTTGTCGCTGCAGGGGAGTTCCGAATGGTATCTTCAGGAGACGTGGGAATGCGCTTTGAAGGAGCTTTGTTGCGAGAGATTCTTCTTGTATTAGCACTTTCTTTTGGAGCTTCTCCCTCTGGCCTCATCTCTGTAGCATCTCCTGTGCGGCAGCTTCTCCATCTTGAAATGGTCTCGGGAGGGCATTTGAAACCAGCCCCATTCTTCGCTTTCTTATAATCCATGGAATCAAGGGCCTTCAATAGATTTGAAAAGACAAATTAATCATTTCACATAGTAACCAAAGATGCCAAAAAACAAATTTAATAAATCACATCATCACCCCCCGGAGAACCATCATTGTTGGATCTCTCAGTCTTCTTCTTTAATGTTTTTTTATTCCCGGTTTTCTATTTCCAATCGATCTATCCTCAAAATCCTTATTTGTTATAGGAAGATCATCATCACAACATTTCAGTGAAAGACCTAACTTAATAATATTGAATTGTTACTAAATAATAAACTAAAACTATGATTTAACTAAAGCAAGTACTGCAATATAGCAAGGAGCTGTAACTACATAGAAATGGAGTATGCTTTAAACATAATAGGGTGACAAATACACAAGGATGCTTATGATAATTACACTACCACTCGATTCAGAACTAGAACTAGGGCAGTATAGCCAGTGTGGTCTTCTGATTTGCGGTTTTCTATTTCCAATTTAATCTATCCTCCAAATCCTGATTTGTTATAGGAAGACCATCATCACAACATTTCAGTTAAAGTTCTAACTAAATAATATTGATATGTTAGTAAAACATAATAATGCAAGTATTGCAATATAGCAAGGAATTGTAACTACATAGAAATGGAGTATATGCTTTAAACATAATAAGATGACAACTCAACAAGGATGCTTATGATACTTACACTACCACTCGATTCAGTACTAAAACTAGGGAAGTGTTGCCAACGTGGTCTTTTGATTAGCGGTTCTCTATTTCCAGTCAATCTATCCTCCAAATCCTGATTTGTTATAGGTAGACCATCATCACAACATTTCAGTGAAAGTCCTAACTAAATAATATTGATATGTTATTAAAACATAATATAAGTTTATGATTTAAAACTAAAGCAAGTACTGCAATATAGCAAGGAATTGTAAATACATAGAAATGGAGTATGCTTTAAACATAATAGGATGACAAATCAACAAGGATGCTTATGATACTTACACTACCACTCGATTCAGAACTAGAACTAGGATAGTGTTGCCAGCGTGGTCTTCTGAATCCTGGTTTTCTATTTCCAGTCAATTTATCCTCTAAATCTTGATTTGTTATAGGAAGACCATCATCACAGCATATTAGTGAAAGTCCTAACTAAATAATATTGATATGTTACTAAAACATAATAAAGCAAGTATTGCAATATAGCAAGGAATTGTAACTACATAGAAATGGAGTATATGCTTTAAACATAATAGGATGACAACTCAACAAGGATGCTTATGATACTTACACTACCACTCGATTCAGAACTAGAACTAGGGCGGAGTTGCCAGAGTGGTATTCTGATTTGCGGTCCAATTGGATAGTCATGTCCATACACAACACCATGAACAACCAAAAAATCAACTTATACATAAATCAGACTAAAGTCATAGTTATACTTCAGCTACATATTATTATTAATCAACTAAAACTAGAGTCGCAGTTATACCTCAGCTGCACCAAAGGTACCATCAGGCCTCCTATTAGCTGAAATTGCTTTATCAATAAACTGTTGTTGCCATGCACCGATTCTCGATTTCTTCTTGTCCCACATCATCCCTTTTCCATCTATGTTCAAACGGCCCAGATATCCAATCTGCATTGTTTAGTAGGTATGCTAGGTCATTTACATTACACGCAAACATATTCTAAAATATTTCCTAGACAATAGTCATACAACACATTAAATTTTATTACCATAAGAACAATTGGAGATCCCTTAAATCCCCCGTTAGTATCACCTTCTCCATACTTGACCATCCAATCAAGTACATATTTAGACCAGTTATATCTTTTCCCTTCATTGATGAACTTTTCTTTCAACAACCAACAATGATTTGGGGAAATATTGTTGATAGTTGTAATGCATAGAACAACTCGCAACCAAATAAAGGACAAAGTGCTTCAGAAAATCTTTGGGCTTCTCATTTTTATCCATACACTTTTCGTACACCAAGCTGTAGCTAATATCCCCCAAATGTTGGTACATACTCTTTAAGGCCTTGAACTTCGAGTTATTGCAATTCACATCTGGAATGTCGTAAGTCATATCTCCATAAGGAAGTCCCGTAATCAACCAATCATCTCATCATCTATCTGCAGCTCGTAGTTATCTCAAATATGTAATACTTCTCTATCCGCATCCCACTGACTAAATAAATATGCCAAGAATTTCTCGTCAAACTGTTTGAGTTTTATGCCCAGAAACGTCCTAAAAAAGGTTTTATTCAAGAACTTAAATCTATCCTTACTCATTGTCTTCTTAATCTTTTGCAAATCTCGAGAATAAGTCATAATGAAAGGGTTCTGTAACACATAAACACCATGAATTAAAAAATTACAAAAATCATATCACTAAGGCATGAAGTATTGAATACTATGTGTTTATTAGTGTAGGCGTCATTTGGAGTGCACCTACGTTAAAAGCATGTTGTGAATATGCTTGGCACCCATAGGAAGTGGGAATTGACATTATAATTAGGGACAACGATTAGGGACAAATCAAAGTAGGGAGCCGCCAACAAGTTTTTAAGGAACTTGTAAACCGTTCATGGATCATTAAAGGCAACCACGATAAAGGGACAATGAAGGCAACAACGATTGACCCGTGAATGTTACATCCCATTCATAATCCATGAGATTACTAACTTTATATGGTTTGGAACCACGAAAAAAGGATCGGGGATGATGGTACGAAGTGAGTCATGGAGTCACATTCGCCCGTATTGGCCTGTATTGTAGTGAAAAGTGATTCCTGCGATCTCAAAGGCATGCAAACAAAGATTCAATTTGCTCCAAAATATTATTATATAAAATTGGTTTAATATTAATGCAACACAGTATTCTAAAATATTGTGATCACTTGGTTTAACAACAAGATTAAAAAGGATCCTAAACCGATTGTCCAAATTATCTTATTAGGCGTGATTTTCAATTACATATTCCCTTTAAACATGCAATATGGTGATCAATAAATAATAATAGAATAAACATTAATATTGGAAGCAATTCAAAAATAGTTTTAGTCAAATTAAATATAAAATAACCTAATCATTATACTAGCAATATAAAATAAAATAACAGTAATTAAATTAATTAATTAATTTCTCACATTCTGCGCGTTCCTTTAAAAAGCTACATCATGAATAAATTGTTAGTAACTTCAATAAAAAATATAAATCAAATTGAAATTAATTTAAATAAATTTAGATTTGATTGGGTCCAAACCCTCAGTTAATTATACCTTTGACTCCTTAGTTTAAGTATAGAACTTTGGGTATTGTATGAACTCCTTGGAGTGCTTAATTAGGGGAAGTATTTTGAGAGAATAGGTGGCTAGTGTTTAAGCTAAAGAGGGAGAATAGAATTATTTTGTGATCAAGCTTATTGATGATTGAAAAAGGGGAGATATGAACTCTATTTATAGAGAAAAAAGAGGGGTCGAAGAATCAAGAAAAGATAAGAATTCGAAACGGATAAAACTCTTGCGATAGACAACAGTTTTTGCGGTTTTTGTTTTATCATATCATTTGATCCAGAAATTGGAATAAGATAAATAAGATATCTTTGGAAAGCTCTTGAAGTTTACTTTCTAACCCAATTAGAATCAGATTAAAATATTTTGTAGAATAAAATATTTGGCCGAAATAGTGAGACGGTGTTAGTTTTAGATAGAGTTTGATATTTTATTCATATCTTCTCCGTTATAGCTCGGAATTGATATTATAATATATCATTGGAAAGATAATTTCAAGGTTTATCCAACCATATAAAATTTAGATAAAAACTATGAGGCACGAAAATAATAACTGTCTATCTTTGAATGTCTTTCAATTCGAATAAGATTAGGATTTACAAAAAGAAAAATTTTATTCAATTTCAAAACTCTTTAATCTTATCTTTTTAAAAAGGATAATTAGGATCTTTTACACATGATCATTGGGTCGTAGGTCAGGTGGGCTTAGGTTCGGTTTGGGCTCAGTTTAATATTTTGGCCATAACTTATTCGTTATAACTTGGATTTGGGCTTATAATATATCGTTGGAAAGCTTTTTTAAAGCCCCATCCAACTATTTAATCATTGTACCCAGATAATGGACCAAAATAAACTGAACTAAACATTTTTTTAAAAAGGACATGAAATGAATGATTTTAAAGGACACGAAATGAATTATTTTGGGTTTAAAGGCACGGAAAGAGGAAAATAAGTTATGGTTTGGGAAAATGGGATAGGATTTGGGTTGTTTTATGAAATGAAAATTTGGATTTAAGCACTCCAAGATTAAATACTCAACCCGACCAATAATGGCAGTGAAAGGTTGTTCATCACCGGGTTTGGTTTTGGGAGACATTGTTAGGTGTCTAATTAGGCTCGTTATAACTCTTATGTTTTTAGGTCCATCAATGCGTGGTCATCCTTGGTTTTTTGCAGCTCCATGAAGCATATAATTACAATTAACTCTTCCTAAACACTTTACTATGAAGTGAAATGAAATCTTTACTCTTCCTAAACGAATAACTGTACATCATTTCAACAATTTAACTCGTATTGCCATTATCAAACCACCACCACACCTGTCCAAAGCATAGAAATCCACCAACACAATCACACCGGATCCGACATAAAATTACACATAATCAAGCAACTAAGAATGCATTATATAGTTTTCAAAAAAAAAAAATGCATTCTATAAAATCATATATAGCATATTTAATTGATAACGCATATATTATTGATAAACACATAGCTCATTACATTTAAAACTGTATTAGTAACTATACAATGACTAAACCAAATACTCAAATTATAATGATACATACCTTTTTGGAATAATCATCATTGGGGCAATATGCTCTTTCCTCTTGGGTCCTCCCCGCACCTTCCCCATGAGTTTCATTGTCAATAGTCGGCCTCCTTAGTACATTTTTGTATTCGATATTAGACTTAGTAAATGAACTGCTATAGGGAGATATAATCAGTGAATTAAAAGCTTGCCTCACACATATTTGGTTTATTTTTTATACCTCTTGAAGAAAATTACAGGATACTAGTGATTCAAAAATTTAATTATTTTTCGAGGAAACCAGTGATCAATAGTTTCATTGCCATTTACCATCAAAAATTTTATGTTCGAGCAGACTCACTAATGAACTACAATACGGAGATATATAGTTTTGGTTAACTACCCTTAACAATTTCCCATAAATTATTCTATTTGATAGTAGACTCACTTAATGAACAACAATACGGAGATATATAATTCGACAGTGATCAATAGTTTCATTGTCATTCGTCATTGATCTTTTACACTACCAATTTATTAATTTACCCTTACCTGGGTTACACAATTTCAAAATTTAAAATAAATTATAATATATATGCATTCTCTTACTTAATTGAAACCAGAGTATTTAAAATTAAAGAAGAAACCTACCACGAGAAGGCGCTTAACAAAAAAAAGGAAAATTAATAAACGATAACAAGTAACAACACTCATATTCTTAGAACAACAACATCAATTTATTTTAAATACATCAACTTGAAAAGAAAGAAAACATAACTAAGGCAAATACCCAAAATCTTACCCTATCGTTGATGCGTCCATTTTTTGTTTTACACTTAGCTTCTTACAAACGATCTTGAATTGTGAGGTAGAAATTGTAAGTCAACCAGCAATTGTATAGTGAAGGAATGACTCTTATTTTTAAAAGTGTAGTGGGAATCAATTGCCTGAAGAAAACTAATTTTAAAAACCTAGGTTTTTTTGGAGGAGAGATGGGGAATATTTAATTTAGTTAATCGAAAAAAAAAGAAAAAATAAATATTTTTTTACGGGAAATAAAAAAAGCTTTCTAACATCAAATTATTCGGTAGTAATTAATAAGTGTCTTAGTTCTCACCCCTGTAGCGTGGGCTGATGTCACGAAAATGGCTCTCCCCTTCTGAATTAATCTGATTTGTTACCATCAATCAAATCTAGTTTTCTTTTTATTAAATGTAAAACTATGTTACAAATTTTCTCTCTTTGTTACTACTTACGTTACATTTAATAAAAATATCAGCCCAAACCTTTAAACCACGTAATTACCAAATATAAAGTCTACATCACATATTTTACAATTGTTTAAAATAAATTTGTACAAATTACAGTATAATAAAGGTCTATAATAAGGTTTAAATGTAATTAATAAATGTTTTTTGAAACATATGTCTATAAAAATGTTTGTAATAATTTCCCTCAAAAAAAAATGTTTGTAATAATCCATTACTAGATTAAGTCTTGTGTACAAACATAAACTGGCGAATAAATCTCCATCAGCCCATATTCATTTACAATTTTGAAAGATTTTTGAATTATAGAATTCACCTTAGACGGGCCACAAGGATACAAATATTATTGTAGTAATTATATATAGACTAGCATTGGAAATTAATTCCTTTTGCAACCAATCCAAGCATAATTTTACAAATCAATTAATCAATCAATTAACATATACTAAACGCGAACGTAAAGTGACACTTGTCATGATGTCATTAAAAAATTTCCCGCTTTTCTTTTTTTCTTTCTTTATTTTTTTTTATTGCCAAATTTGAATGAATTCCAATTTTTAACATACAATAATACTTATTTCCATTTTGACAACACATTTAATTCTATCATACTCAATTAATTTTTTTCTTATTATTTTTGTTAACATATATTTTATATACTAGGAATCTTTTAGTTACAAATATAGTAACATAGATTAAAATTAAGGTATTGAAATACTTCGTATATCATTATCCAATATTATTATAATATTATCAATTTTTTTCATCCAACTTAAAAAAAAAATTAATTAAAAATAGTCTTTAATTTTGGTAGCATACTTGGTATAAATCTTCAAATTATGCATAATGTTTATAAGAACAACCAAACCAAATTATTTTATTAAATTATATTCCTCCTTTTTTGATATGTTATAGCTGGATTTGCACATTTTTCAAGACACAACTTTAACCATCAATAACCTTAATTAAAAACTATTATTTTGTTACAAATATTTTGTTTGGATAAAAGGAATCTAAAAATCCAACCTTTGGCCGGTCTGACAATAAAAATCTAACCTTTCAGCAATCTCAGAAAAATCCAACCATTTCCCCCCACCTTCTCCAACAGATCCATTACCTGTTGATGAGCGTTTTTTGTAAGTTATGTTCCACGTGTCAGTCGTTAATTGGTCAATAATTTTTTTAATCATTAAAAAAACAAAAAAAAAAAAAACCACCAGCCACCTCCCCCTCTCCCCTGCAATTTCCCCCTACCCCAACCAGCCCTACCATCGGGGTCGCCGGATTTCGGCGATCTCCCTCCACCCCCCACCCCTTGTTGCAACCTCCCCAACCACCAAAACCCCCTACGATCTAAACCTTAACCACCACACCAAACACCCTATTCGACCCTCCAAAACCAGCCCGACCCCTCCCCGAAACTCCCCACCCTCCCGCCGACCACTTACCGACAACCCCTGACCCGTTTCCACCCCTCCCCTCCCCACCCTAAACCCGACCCCGGTTTTCTAATACCCCTGACCCTTTTTTGGGGTTGTGGGTTCGATTTCGGGGTTCTGGGTTTGAGTTCGGGGTTGTGGGTTTTGGGTTGTGGATTTGAGTTTGGGTTGTGGGTTTTGGGGTTCCGGGTTTAATTTGAGTTGGGGTTGCGGGTTGTAGTGGTGGATGGTGTCGTGGTACTAGGTGGTGGTGCTGGGTGGTTTCGTGGTGCTAGATGGTGGTGTTGGGTGGTTTCGTGGTGATAGGTGGTGGTGGTGTTGGGTGGTTTCGTGGTGCTAAGGTGGTGGCAGAAGTGGTGGTGGTGTAGAGAGGAGAGAGAAAGAAGAGGAGTGAGAAGGAAATTAAAAAAAAAAAATTAAACTGGTTTAACAAGTTAAAGGTCAAATGGACCTGTTAAAGAAGGTGGGGTGCAAAGGTTGGTTTTTTTTAGTTTAATGGAAGGTTGGATTTTTATTGTTAGACCGACCAAAGGTTGTATTTTTAGATTCCATTTTTCCTATTTCTTTTGGTAAATTATTGTTAAATTAACATCATTCTTTATAATTTTTGTTATAAAGTTTAATTATTACCGTGCATGACACGGGACTTAACCTAGTTAAAAAATAATAGCAAAATAGCTTTTAGTGGATATTTATTTCCCATACATTTATTCAAAAACTAGTAAATAATAAGATAAAAATGTTACATTTAGCTTTAAGTTAGTAATATTTTTTTTTGTGCGTTTGGTAGTGCATAGAGCCACAAGGACAACGTGAGAATCGATCTCAGAATCTCCTAAAACCGGGGGGAAGCTCTACCTACTTGAGCTATCCCTCACTCTCAATCATCAATCAATCAATTACATACTATTAAAGTCGAAACTAAAAGTTACCCTTGGCAAAATATTATTAAAAGTTTTCACTCCAAATAAATATACTTAAAAAAAATTCATTATAAATAGAAGGTTTGTACTAAACTTAGGATTTTTTCGTTGTACAAAATCTAAAGTAAGCTTCTTATAATCTCAAATTGCCCATTACAAGTGGTAGGTTGGGTCTGTTCTCATACGTTGAAGTCAGTTCAGTTTAGTTCAGTTCAGCTCAGTTCAATTCATTTCAGTTTAGTTCATTTCAGCTCTTAATTCCTTCTCTGATAAAATATTAATTTCGGTTTAGTTCAGCTCAATTCAGTTTATTTAAGCTAACTTCAGTCAATGAGAACAAGCCCTTACTTATTACCAATTAGTTGTTGTATAGTTGTGATTATGACTACACTTGGTAGGGAGAACCTGTGTTCGATAGTGGGGAATGACAAATGAATTTAGCAAAACTCCCTTGCATATCAAACAATTGAAATTGTGACACATAACCAAAGTGAAAGAGATTGTCATAGATGGCTTCTTATCCAAATTATTATAGATAGGTGTTTATTTTTGGACTAGATATTTAAAAAAATTAAATCGTAACAATTTTGGGTAATAATTTTGGAATAATTTGTTTATTTTTTAATCCTTTCTTGTAAATGTTGACACTTTTGCATTTAGAGTTTAAATTATGTGACACACCTAACGATTATAATTCTATACTAGCAATATCAGTCAATAAATAATTTAAATTATAAATGAACACACAATAGTCTTGTTTGAAAAAAGGAACAAATATATAGTGCATAGTTTATTGAAAAAAAAGGATATTGTTTTAAATTTATCTTGTAAATTAGAATACAAAGGGATATTTAACCAATATACAAGAGTGACACACTACAATCCTACAATAAACAAGAATTACCAAGCCCTTTTGACTAAACAAGTGTATCATATACCGAAAAACATACAGTATAATGCTTCTTGTTTACTTCCACCCTAAATTTTCTTTATTTTAATTAGATAATTAAAATACCCAAAATAAAAGGAAAACATTAAAAAAATAAAAAGGTAATGATATATTTCATTTTTAGTACTCATATTTTGGTAATTTATCGACAATTAATGAATAAATCGATGTCATATATTTAAATTTAATTATATTTTTTACCTTTTAGCTACTTAGTTGACTTTTTCCAAAATGAATTTCAATGGTGATAATGCCTAATTGATAAATTGGTTGTATAAAGAAGTTTATCAAATCCCTTAAAAAAATACTGGCTATATATAACTAGTAACTGCCCTTTTCAAAAAAAAAAAAAAAAAAAAAAACGAAAAAAAGAGATTTACTTGTTAACTAGTAACTGGCCACGAGATTAAAAATTTCTAAAATTGGTTTTGATACTTAATCTAATTTCAAATTATTAACCCATTTCTTTCAACTGCCGTTTTGTCGGAGTATTCTCTAAAGTGCCATATCTTCCCTTGTATCACTCTCAAACTCCCTCCTTGTATCACTGTCAACCTCTCTTTCTTCACCTTTGTCTACAACTACTTTCAATAAGAAATGACTATGATAACACTGTGGCATGGGGCAAGTTGGAATCAACTCCCATTCGAAGGTATGTTTGCGGCTCGTCTCACGCATTTGATTTTCAAACGAAAGAATTCGGTGTCGATAATTTTAAATCCAAAATCCATAAATTGGGGTACCCTAAGTATAAATTAAGTTATGTAGGTTCAATTGAGGATTTACCAAATGAGCTTTATGTAGTTGATAAAATGAGGGATTTCAAGCACCTAAAAAGCATGGTGCTGTCCAAAGGATTTGTAAATATCTTCATTAAAGATAAGTCGAAGAAATCAACGCCAATTGAAGCATCGATTGACAATACGAGTTCAACCCCAAGTCATGGAACAGGCAAAAATACTCATGAAGCTGGAAAGCGCCGAAGGAAACACGTTATAAATGGTCCAAATCGGCGCGATGTTCCGATTGTAAATTGGTACAATAAAGAATTTGATGAAAAACTACAGGTTAGTTTGCCTTCCAAATCTAAATTTTAAAGCATTTGATAAATACCCTATTCCACAACATTGTTAATTTTATTGTCAATTTCTTAATCGACATTGAGTCAATGATATATAGGTTGCCCCTAATTTAGTAATTTAATTGAAATAGATGGACACAATTTTATCAAGTAATTACTCTACTTTGGAATTCAATTTACCTAGATGAACAGTAAACATAATTCAAGTACGATTATTAGTCACATATGATAATATGAGTGTATGACACATTCTAATTAATTTTAAATACCAATTTAATCATTAATAAGGTGGATTTTGAGTTATGAAAAAATATTCTAATTACTATAAACTAATATTTTTGCTGTGTTTCTTATTTAATTTAATTTTAATTTTTGTCTTTAAACATTCTAAATGTGTAGAGTAAATCATTGGAGGATTTTGAATATCATGTCTTGATCACTGTCTCCTTAATATTGTCAATAGGGTTTTAGTTAATGTTACCATTAAATTGTGTAATTTACAAATGATTTTTAAGTTAGCAATGTTAATGTAACCTATTACCAATTAATATTCCATATTATATTTGTTGGTGGTACTTCTTACCAAATAACATTCTATCGTGCATTAGTTGGTCATACCTTGTACCATGTAATATTCTGTCTTATCTTTGTTGGTCATACCTGTTACTCAATACAAATCTAACCTTTGCCATTGTAAAATTTAATTCTATTACGTTTTATTTGATGTTTCAGAGCACTAAAATTGGTAAGAATGCCAATGAAAATGCTAATACTGCTGATGAACATGCACTATATGAAGTTCAAGAGATTCCTACTTCTGTAAGAAATAAGGTTAGTTTACTCTTACTTAATACACGTGTAACAATATGGTTATTTCAGTTTTATTATCTGTCTAGAAATAATTTTGTGACATTGATAATTATCCAACAGTGTCCATCATTAAGTTGTAAAGTTGCAAGATATGTAAAAATCATTGAAAATTGTCAAGGGATCAACGAGAATGGGTTAAAGATACGGGGTTCAGACATATGCTGAAGATAAACATCACCCATATTGACCTTGTGTTTGGTGTTTGGATAACCTCTTTTTTGACGCTACAAATATGATTCTTACTATAAGGGACAATATATCAGTCACCATAGATGATGAAATGGTTGGTTGGGTATTAGGTATTCCTGCTGGTCCAGATCTGTTTCTCCCTGAAGAATCTGACATGAAAGAGTTCAAACAATGGAAGATGAAATACAAGCAAGGTATAATGTATGGTGCTATAACGGAGTCTGTAGTGTACAACATGGTTCTGTCTGAGGAAAGCAATAAGAAACAGTTTCAACGCCATTTCTTACTAAACACTTTAGGTATCCTTCTATGTCCCACGCAAAAGCAAGGGTGGATAAGTCCCCTACACATATATATGTTGGGAAACGCCACAAAGGCTTACAAATACAATTGGGGCAAGTATGTGCTAGACTGGTTAGTCAAATATCGGGAAAAATGCAACACGACAAAAGAGGGCCTAGGTGGATGTACCCTACTACTTCTGGTAATTCCCTATGATATTTCATTGTTGTTTTGTGACCTTTGTTCAAAAGCATATACATATGAACTTCAAGTCGGGCAAATTGATACTGATCATAATTTTTCTGTCCTAATGTAGGTGATCTACTCAGATCGAATTGCCCATGGTAGAGCTGTTGAATGGAATAAATCATCGTGTAGAGTACGCTACTAGGACCAATCTGATGTTGATTATGCTTTAAAATATGACATGGGAAGTGATTGAAGCTATGGTGCTGCACAGGTAGTTGAACATTTCATTATCTTTTAGATTGAACACTCTTTAAATCAAATAATTCACTCGTTGTTTTGTTTATGTTGTTCGCAGGCTGTGGAAAACGTTGTTTACGGTCAAGATTACCCAACAAATTAGAGGTACTTATTCAATGTTTGTTAGTGCAGATTATTGTCTACAAAGTATTTACCTACTACTTGAAAGGATGATTATATGGTATGACCAGTTTGAACAACGATTTATTTGTTTTTCAATTACATTTCTCAGTATTCTCTGTTAATTATATATTTAGTATCGTAAACTGTTTTCATAGTATCATATAGTAGTATATTATATTATATATAATTTTAAGTAATTTTGAGTTTGGGTGTGTTCTACAAAGGTTTTTATCAAGTACAAATCATCGTTGAAGGTTATGTGTTGGACTTTCTTTGCTACCATCGAATCTCATATAAGTGACACTCATTAAATTTTTCTTGTCATAAAAATTTGTGTATTTGCTTGAGTAATTGTGTATTTGCTTGAGTTCCTTAGTTGCAAACCCAATAAACAAATTTTAGGGAAAGAATGGGATGGGAGATGTAGATAAAAGATAAGTTGGGTGCTACAGCATTATTCATCTTTGAAACTGTTTTTTTTACAAAGCATTTTTACAGCATTTTTCTAGGACTTTTCCCGGCATTTAGAAAGGTTGACTTTTATAGTTTCTTAAAGCCCCTGAAAATGGTGTAATGGGTATGATCGCCTAAAGGTCACTGCCACTTCACGAATTGGGTTCGAAACTAATCAAACCCCGATACCTTTAGCAGGCTGTGAGTGGGTTTGCAGTCCTTTTAATTAAAGCCTTTGGAATATTAGGTATAAAAACTGAAAAAAAATAATGTATGTATATATATTTTTTAATTTGGGTTCCCAAAGCCTATGAGACCCACGTATTCAGTAAAATTATTCAGCACCACAACAAAAGTTAACTTATTTTTTATTCACTTTACATATTATTAGTTGGGATAATTTAGGTAAATTCAATAATTCATACCCTTCATCTGTTTCTTTTCTAATTATTAGAAAAGAAATTTTAATATTGTTTCGCTTACTAATTCAATCTATATTTAGTCCATCCTAAAAGTGGGGAAGTTTAGTTAATGTTGGAGTTACAGTATTACTGTTTAGTTGTTGCTACTAACATATGGAGTATTTTTATCATGACATTCTATAACAACGTATAATCTGTTGCCTACATCGGCCTCAACAGATATAACCACAATGTAATTTAAAGCAAGCTTATCTTCAATATGAAAGAAGACACCTTAAAGTTTGTTCTGCATTAAGTTGCTACTTTAGATATAAAATTCATCCTATATACATTTATTTCCACACATAATGAATAAATTTAGATAACTATTTACGATCACTTCAAATAGTTACATCAAACACAAATTTGGATTTCATAGTAGGTATGAATTTCCTATTATGTCCTTCAAATCAAACACCCTTGACCATTTCCCACACAGAATAACGGATCTCGTTCATATCGTCCATTAGAATGTCAGAGCACAACTTCAATCTATAGCGCTCTTCATCACCGTCATATGCCTTAGAACAAAAGAAAGTCAACAATTCTTAGGAAACGTACAAACAGGGGCCGATGTATTAAGATAAGTAATACTTACATGCATCCAGGAGTTGGCAGTCATTAGGTTGTACAAAAATAGCATGCATAACATTCCCGAGTCCTGAGATTTTTTTTCCATGGGAATATCTTTGACATTTTTAACTCCAAAGGATGTTAACTGTGGCTGGTCGTTATAAAAAAACACCGACAATACCCTTTCTGCATAATGTACCTTTTACAATATATTGTCAGTGGTTACTTAAAACATTAAACAGAAACTATGTTGGGTTTATATTACTAAAAGGGGTTATAATATAAACTCAAAGATGTAAATTGTATTCACTCGAAGAACTTACCACATAGGGAAACATTTTACTGTGATAATTGTGGGGATATGCATATTTGGTGGCAAACACATAGATTCTTGCTTTCTTCAAACTTATTATGTATAACGTCCATCTGCCCTCAAAAAATACTGGACGGAATATCTCCAATTTTACAGTGAAATTAGTACATAATTGTTTTCCTGAACATAAATAAAAAAAACATAACACAACAAAATCAACTCCAAAAACAAAGGTGTTAATTTGTAGGTAATTTCAATACCAACCCTTTTATAGTCCTCCAAACTGTCACCAAATGAAGTATCTGTCTCAATGCCAGCAACATGTTCATTCACCATGCCCGCAACATCCTCATTTGCTGTTAGTTTCTTAATAGCCTCACGTTGCATGAAAAACATGGCAGAGGTTTATATTTCATACAAATATTTGAAAACAAAATATTTGATACTAATATATTATTTAACATGTTACTATGTGTTAAAGAATAAGCACCAGGTAAGTTGCTAGCATAATGTACGAATGCCTTGCAGCTACAGGAGCAAGATGACTAATGTGATTTAAAAATTTCCCATACGCATCCATGACATAATCCACAATTGTCCCGTTAATTTTAAAAGAATCATGCAGCATCTCACCAGACAACGTCAGTCTTTGTCCCTTGTATAAAAGTGTACACCTCAACCTGTGGATTGAAAAGATTAACCTTTAAATCAACATATCATATTTCCACCTAAATCAAATAATGATCATACTCTATCAATCAATTTACAACTTTTCCATTTAAAAAAATGCTACAAATAACAAAACAAAAGAAAAATTAAACTTACGACTCATCGCCTTTTGACTTCATTGATAAAATTTCACCAACCATTCTTCTGTATGTGGTAGAAATAGTAGGCCTCTCTGCATGCGGTCTAGGGGTGGCTTGGCGAACATCGTCCGATGATTCGCTACCGGTACCTACTCCATCGACATTCTCCTTTTCCTTTACATTTTCTTAAGATGTCATGATAACAACTTATTATGAAAAAGAAGTTTTGATAAATATTTGATTACATATATTTTGGTTTACAACTAACCATTACAGACACATCAAACTCTTCCGCTATCAGCTTTTCACAGACACATAAATATTTCGGGGTCTTTAGAAGAATTGCAACAACCACTTTTTTTAGAACGAATATCAGTACTTGCCTTGCTATCAGCTCCAATCTTGCTTTTAGAAAGATCCTTTTTAGAAGATGCCTGCAATACAAAAGTAAATTAGTAACATGACCATATCAAACCAACTTAATGAGATTCTTAAATAATACTAAAACGTGAGCAGAGGATGACATCAAATGCGTCTTACCCTATCATTTTCCTTTCACTGTCACTAAAGTCTAAGTTTTTTTGTTGGTGCGCATTTTTGCAAGGAGGTAACACATTCTTGGGACCCTCATTCTTGGGTTTCTTAGTGGGTGGCAAATCTACGTCCTATCATGAGAAAGAAATAAGTTAGATAATTGGCAAGGTAATCGATTCAAAACAAAAGAAAAGAAACAATTAAAGACCCACCGACAGCTTTTCACTGGCTGAAAAAAAAACTCAAAACTTGAGCTTCTGTTTCCAACTATTTCCTGCCATAGTGACAAAACCACATCACGTACTATTTAATGTAGGACTTTAAATCAAAATGTAGTTTGAACCACATTAACATCTTCATTGCTTGAAGACGACTTGGATATGTTTTCCTTTCCACTTACTCGGCCAACTTCCGCTCTTGGAAGATTCTACGACAAAACACATGTTAAATATATCAGTTAATAACTAAGATACATATGTAAAAAAACATTATCATATCAATTCCATAATAAATATTTTGTACACACTCACATACCTCAGAAGTACATGCAGAAATAACGGTATTAGATATCTTCTTCTTACCCATTTTAATACTTTGTACATCCTGCTACAAAATAAACAGGCATATAGTACTGATCGAGTTAGTAGAAGTTTCAAAATGAATTTTTAGTAATTAGTAACCCAAGTAGTTACCGTTTTACCTCATCACTGCTTGAAGTGATGGTCCTCTCTATACCGTATTTGGGCTTTTTCCCAATAACTCGTTCCTGAAAACTCAAAAAGAGATAAAAGGAATAAAATCAACTCATAAAGACCAACATTTAGTTCAAACCAAATTATACTTCCTCACTACTTGTTTAAATACCACCCTAAAATTTCTCTCCCCAATAATTTTGCGCCTACTTAATTTATGTACCTCCTCCAATGGAAACCAATTTTTAGATTATTGTTAAAAATTCACTTATAAACCTAAACATTACAAACTAAAATATATAATCATCAACACTTCAAATAAAAGCATGCCATATGTCTCATCCTTCAAGTTTGTGCCGTTGTATTTTAATGTATTTTTTTCCTATTTAACAACTGAATAAGTAACCACTACTACATGCCAAATTACATAAACATTAAACAATAAATACATAAATACCTCACTACTACTTGTAGCCTTCGATCCTTTTTTTTTGGTGATAGCTTTTACCACCTGGTTACCATCATTCTCATCATTTGAGTCATCATTCCCAGCAGTAAATTCATCACTCTATGATGCCTAATGTAAGAATAAAAAATGTAAACCACACAATAGATTGTCTAAAAAAATAAAAAATAAAATACACAATAGGAAAATACTTCTTTAATTAGTAACAAAATATCCTCATAAAACATCAAGTTACCTCATCAGTAGTTGAATAACTCCCACCCTTTTTTCTTCTTTTTATGCTCAACTTTGGCCTTTCCTGCTTTGTGTGGTAAATTCCTTAGTCTCTCTATTATCTCAGCACTATCATTGTTAATTTCTGAGTCCTGCTTTTCAACAAGAAATTGTATGAAAGGATAATCTTAAGAGGAGCATAATAGTAACAAGTAACAACACTAAAATGGAGGATAATTATTATAAATGGTTAATATAAGATAAGAATCGATGTAAACCATTAACGGGTTTTACATGGCACTTACACTACGACTGCTTTCAGAGCCAGAACTATCATATTTAAGCCATATTGTTTTATTTAAATGTCCTCCCAATTGGATAATCCTCTCCGTAGACAACATCATGTACAACCTACAAGCATGAAACAAAGTTCACATATTAGTAACAATGTCACATTAAATAGTAATAACATACTATACATAGGCTTGATATACCTTAGCTGCATCAAAGCTTCCATCTGGCCCTTTATCAGCAGTTATGGCTCTGCCAATATTCTTTTGTTTCCAAGCACCTATCCCAGGTACCATTTAGTCCCAAATCATTCCGTTTCCATCTATGTTCAAACAATCCAGGTATTCAATCTGCAACATTTTACAGGTTCAATAGGGCAATTTTCAATGGTTAAGATACATGAGAGAAGGTTTCATAGACATTTCACATAATTAACACAAAAACTTGATTACCATGAGAACCAATGGAGATCCCTTAAAACCCTTGCTAGGATCACCTCCTCCATACTTGATCATCCAGTCAAGCATATATTTGGACCAGTTGTATTTTCTAGCTTCATAAATATACTTTCTTTTCAACAACCGTAAGTGGCTAGGGCTAATATTGTTGCTAGTTGTGGTGCATAAAATGATCCCAATAAAATAGGGGACAAAGTGCTTAAGAAACTCCTTGTTGTCCTCATTTACATCCATGCACTTGTTATACACCACTCCAAAGCTGATTCCCCATAATTTTTGTACTCACTCTTCAAATCCTTCATCTTTTGATCACTATTGTCCACTTCAGGAATCTCATAAGTCATATTACCAAAAGGAAGCCCAGTGATCCAACCAACCATCTCTTCATCTATCCTAAGTTCGTAGTCATCTCGGATACGTAGCACTTGTCTATCCGCATCCCATCGACTAAATAAAAATATCAAGAAATCCCTGTCAAAGTTTTTAATTTTAAAGGTGGGAAAGCTCTTGAAGACTGTTTTTTTCAACAACTTCTTCCTTCCTTCACAAATTTTCTTGATAATCTTCCTGATAAAATGGGGATATGCCCTGAAGATGGGGTACTGCAACACAATAACAGAGGAATAAATAAACAATTTCTTGTATGAACTAATCAATATAACGATATATTTAAAAGGAATGAAGAGCTAAGCAATTATATTTGTAAAAGGAATTTCAATGTAACTTAAAACTCCATACCTTTCTAGGTCCAACTCTTCGTGGTCTTCCACGTTTTCTTTTTTGGTGTACATCCGATACTGGTGTTGCCTCCTAGAAAAACAACCAAATGCGCAAGACATATAGTTACTATTGTTTGTTGTAATGGATCAGTGTTTCAATTGTTGAGTACCCTATTTTATTACTGGTAAAAATTCTTACTTGTTTAGAGTCCCCTAGTCTGGGTCTTCCTGATCTCCTTAATGTTACTTTACCTCCTTTAGACTGCTACACACAAATAACAATATTAGCAACATAAAAATCTTCAACCACATATAATACTTCACGTGGTCAATATCAAACTTTTAAAAGGCAGACAATGTATTACCTTTGATGAAGCTTCAGCCTCATTAGTTTTCGTACAAACAGGTGTTTCAAAGGGAGCTGCTACAAATGTAATATTCTGTAAAACAAAAGAATGGGAAAAAAATTAGACAGTCACATTGTCATATTGGATAACCTAGCCCAATTCACATGTTATGAGGTTTATTTAACCTCTGTTGGGGGATGGTCTGGTATGTGGTGTTGTTCAGGTCCAGTAGGATTGATACAATCCTCGGCAATAACCTGTTACCAGCATCGATGTTCATTTTATCATTTACTTGCTATTGTGTTACTAGCTATATAAGTATCTATTATGCTGTTACCTTTCTTCAAATCTCCTGAGTGCCGGTTATGGCCCCCAGTCCTAACAAAATCTCTTTTGTAGTTTTCACACTATGGCTGTTCTTATTCAAGATAGTCTCCACTTACGCAAATGGTAGAAAACACATTACTTGTTACATTACTATGATTATAACATGTTGATTGCACCATAACTTAAACGAACATAATTAATAGTATCTTAATTAGTAAAAACGATCATAATCATAGTTAATATGTTAGATGTATTTTTTTTAATTGTAAAAGTTCATAAAACTTTAATTAGCCTAGACAATCAAATTTTTTTTAAAAAAATGGCAATTTGAATGACTTGGCATCACCCCTAAAACATTAACAACTCGATAATTTGTATTTAAACAAGTATGTTACCCCAGGTCTCTTCAAACACATACCCTAATAATTTTTAAATATTACAAATGAGGACACACTCATGATTAATCAATATCAAACTTTGATATGGTTTCAATATAAAGATAAAAAATATCAAAACTTAGATACAATATCTTGTTACATCGTCAGCCATTTTATAACAAACATAAAATACACTTATATTTCAAACTCATTCACTAGATTCATAGAAACTTACTAAGAAAATCTAAAGAGATCAAAATAATATTTATAACTATATAGTTACAATTGTAACAAACCTTATCTTCACCCCTTGTGGTTTCATTCTATAAAGTTACTTGCTCTGTGCTACCCTCTCTTATCCTAATATTGACATTTTGCGCACCTCCTCCTTCATTGTCTCCAATTGCAGTATTTGATAAAAATTGGGGGTCTGCCACAGTATTTGCAAAACTAAAATTCTCCATGTTAGAAGTTTCATTGACAAAATATTGATACACAGGCTAGTTGAACTATAATTATTTCGTTAAATTAAGTACATAAACAGTCTATAAATAAATTTGGGTTTAATAAATTGAAATAATTTAAAATTGAACAACTCTAGAACAAATTGGAGTTCAATAAAGAAATTAATTAAAGATATCAACCTAGTCTCTCACTAAATCGATGTAATTATCAATACATTATAACCTACACACAATAGGTAATTAAAACATGCTTAACTGAAGCAGATAGGGGGCGCAAATAAACTTACCCTGTCTCGGGTTCGACCATACTCCTTATGTAATATTTATTCAGTTACAAACGCTGTTGACTATGAAATTTGAATGCAAAACAAAAATAATTCGAATAGAAATTATGGAATTAAAAGGGAAAAGTTTAATGTTTTTTTGGGGAGATTAGATGAGAAAAGGCCACCCGTCATTACTTCATAACAGCGCTCCGACAAGAACAATATTACTCCCTTGAACGGTGCCCTGATGTCATCATTATGCACTGAACATCCTGATGAAAAACGCGCTTTGTTACTACCGGTCTAATCAACCTTTTTTTTTAAATGTTATTATTTTTTTTGGTAATGAGTTTAAAAATCGAATCAATATAATTTGTGTAACACCTTTCAATTTAATAGATATTAGATGTAAGCACGTGCAACATTTTTATCATAAATCCTATTTGTAGGTTATTTAAAAAAATTAAACTTTCAAATCTTATTCGTTAATTTAGCTTATGTGCTTGATAATTCTTTAAATTCTATATTAAATTTATTTGTTTTCCATTGGTCAAAATAATGTCGTGTATGAGTTAAATTATCCGTCGTAAATTGCATAATAAAATTATAATTGAAAAGCAATGGTTTTTAAATAATTTTAAATCATTATTCGTATTATATAATGCCTTGCACATATATTTAAATCTCAAGTCTTATTCGTTGTTGGTCAATGTTATGCTTATAAGGTGTGGTCAACAACACACAAAAATCCTAAATCATAGATTTTAATTTTTTATTAGCTCTTGAAATTAGACTTTCAAATTTCGGTAGTTAATTTTGTTTATATGAGGATTCATTTTATTTGATACTAAGTTAAAATTTAAATTTATTTTTATTGGTTAAAATAAGATAATTTTATATGTTAGCCCATACTTATCTATGAAGAATAATAGGATAAAACACATGTAAAAAAATTATGTATTTTTTTAGTTATTTAAAATAATTATATCTGTGTGGCCCTACATATAAAAGTTTCCAAGTATTCATTTTTAAATTATTTGTGCCCAGCGGTGTGCATATTGGTCGTTGTACGTATTCTGTAGGGATGCTTTATTTTCCATGCCCTTTAGTTGGGTGTGGGCCTAATAATTTAAATGAGCAACGAAGTTGATTATCTTCTGTGCCATTTAGATGTGGTCACAGTAACGGCAGCTTCGGGTTTAGTATCCCTTTTCCCGGAATTGGCATAAAATTTTAGTCCGCGACCAAGTTCACTCGATTAATTTCACGACCGCCCCCGTTAACTGTCGTACAACAATTAAATGGGTAGTTCGGTAACAACATATGCTTTAGCGGTAACTACATAAATGCCGCTTGGTAAGGGAAATGTAATCATTTCATGCAGGGGCGACAATGACTTTAAAAAAGCAGTGTAACTGGAGTTCTAACCAAGTGTAGAGGGTCGCCTCAGCTGGGACCCAAGGCGCAGGAAAGGCCATGAAACAACCCATCCACTGATTTCCCGCATACTGCAGTAACGAGCAATGCAGGCCCGGCTGCCAAACTAGCCTTCGCACATCCACTTCTGAGTGAGTTGCGAGTTTCTTGGAATATTTTAGGGAACGGCGAGAGCGTTCGAAATCGCAGAGAGGGGTGCTTAGGCACGTGTTCACTCCGTCTACCTTGAAATCCCACCTACTTCCTAACTAAATGTGATCAAGTGCCAGCGTAACAACTTCGTCCGAAAATGACGTAGTATCGTGGAAATTCTTCTTTTTAGCATTACAAACATCGGTACGACTTTATCGTTTAAGCATGGCATCGGAAGCAAAAATCAACTTCACCATTCCAGCGTAGGCTGAGGCCATTTCTAGAATGGTTCGCTCATAACGAGCTCGTTGGATGTTAGTATACAAAATCTGCATGACAACTTCTAAGCTTACGGAGTTATGAAAACTTTGACTCTCTTCCAGGTACACCCGAAGCAAGCCGAGGGTTTCGAGGCAGATAGCGCCATGACACGGTAGTAGGGAACCCGGGCCTTTTAAGCAGCACTAGAGAGGGGATAGAGACTCGAGACTGAAAACTAATGTCCTTCTTCCTCTGAGCCAGGTTCCTTGTAGAGTCTATCTACTAGCGGTTATGAGTTCGATAGGAACTAAGGAACGCAGACGCATTTTATGGTCATCGAGTAACACCGCTCGTGTTCCATGCGTTTTTCTTTTTTCCAATTAACGTCTTGATGTGGATCTCTCAAGACTCTCACAAGGCTCGCAAGCTATAATAACATTGTATCTTGGATTTTTAATATGGAATAAAGAAATTACACGAAAGTTAAAAGGATATTACTCTAATTCTCGCATGAATAGAAGGTATCTTCCTATTCTTAACTAGAAGATGATCACAAGTCGCAAAAAGTTATGTTATTTATTAACAATCAAACGAGCAACACTCAAAGGATTATCCCATACCAAATCTCTCTCCTTCTTAAACTATTATTTATATACACCCATATTTATAGGGTGACAAATCGTACAATGATAAGATACAAAACTAATAATTTTATCCCAAAATAAGATAAAATATTAAGAATCCTTATCCTAATATATCTACTAATGATATTTTAACCAACTAAAAAATCTATACAAACATAAAAAAAAAATAAAAATAAACTAATGGCTAAAACTCTTAAATCCTATAAATGAAGGAAAAGTCCTTTCAAGTGAAAGGTAAAATCCCATAGGCAAAAATCCTAATAATTAATAATAACTAAAAGATAGTGTAGGCTTTTTTAAAATTCCATGAATTTTCAAGAATACCCATATTGGTCTATTTTCCCGCATCAAATATGCGGTAGGATACATGTTTCTTTGTATTCACTCGATGATAAGTGCGGGGTAACCCCCCTCCCATTATGCGATTAGTGCCATAGTCGTCACAATGTCAATTTTATTTTAATACCAATTATGGTTTGCCGTTATTTTAAGGTTATTTTCATTTTTACCACCTTCAAATAATGACTTTGTCGAATTTACCACCTCCAAAAAAAAACATTTACTTTACCACCTCATAAAAAAATTAAACATCAGTTTTACCACCTCATCTGAGCTCAGGTGACGGAAAACGCTTGTGGGGCCCAGCATAACGGCTAGTTTTTGATTTTTATCCCAAATTTCTCTCGATTTCCCTTTTATTTAAACCTAGTTCTTCATTTGTACACCAAATTCTTGCAGATTAGAGATTAATTTTTGCGATTTTCTTCACAAATCAGTATTTTTGGGCAACTTTAACAATCCCAAACCCTCTAATTATCAAACAATCAATTGAACTCCTCGACAACAAGCATAAAAAAGGTAAGCCATTGTCGTTAATTCTCTAGCAATTTTCGTGATTTCTGTTGTAATTTTTTGGCAATTCGTTGCGTGATTATGTTGCATTTGCTAAGAGTAATTGAAATTGGGCGTTTTGTGAGGTCAATTAAACCCCAATTTCAATTAAAATACTTAGGGTTCATGTAAGATTAAATTAGATTGGGGGTTTTTGTTATGTGAATTGGCTACTGAAATTAGGGTTATATTATGGTGATTGTGTTCAAATACAATTAATTTCATTCTTGTTCTTACTGAATTTCAGAAGGGAATGTCTTCAGTTAGCATGTCACCCTCAAAGGAGAAAAACTGCCAATGTGGAGTTCCAATGTCTAGGTTGACTGCTTGGACTAGGGAGAACCCTGGACGCAAGTTTAGGACCTACAAATTCTATGATCCTGTGACTGAGTCAAGGGGGTGTAAAGCTTTTGAGTGGGTGGATCAACCAGATGGAACACCTTGGCAAACAGAGGTGATTAACAACTTGCTGCTGGACAAGAAACTAATGAAGGGAGAGCTGAATGACATGAAGAGGGAAGTTGATGATGTTAGTGGACAAAGGAGTTGCTTGCTCAATGAGATTGACAGCTTGAAGATGAAATGCAAAGCTCTTAGCTCAAACAGGAAGAAGATGATCAAGGAAGTGCATGGCAGCAATGCAACAACAAAGAAAATGCTCACAGTACATGCTATTGTTGTGTTTTGTTGTTTTGGTTTGGTACTGGCTATGTATTTTAGATCTTAGGTTCATTTAGGAATGCTTAGAAACAAAAAAAATCCCCAACTTATGTTATGTTTTGTTGAATTATTATGTGTGGATGTTGGGATGACATTTCTTGTACTACTTTTAACTAAATCAATGAGAAATGGAACTTTTTGGTAGAAACATATCACATTTCGTATTAGTACTTGCAACACAATGTTTTTAATTGTTTTACATTGGCTGAGACAAAAGTTAAGGCACCTTTGTGCAAAATCATTGTTCAACTACCAAATATACTGCCTACTATACACATGTGTAGTTAATAAACTTGGTTGTCTATTACAAAATACTAATGAGTAGACCTAGGGTCACAGTTAATTGAGATCCTTGTCCTTCTTGCTTGTCATTACATGAAGCTTGGACCTGGTCTGTATTTTGACTTTGGGAGGAGTAGTTGTTGGCACTCTTGTGGGTTGACTCAGGCTCCTGTTGCTCCTGGTAACAGGCTGAGTTGGCAAAGGCTCTGTTCTTGTTGTAGGCTGGCTTGACACAGCAGTTGCAGGTGCAGCATTACTTGACCCAACCTGTGCTGTTGTTGGAGGCTGATATTGTGGCAACTTCAGTGCAGCCTGTAATCACAGTATGACAAGACTCAGAAACAAAGCCACTAAATACACTCAAGTCACAAAATACACAAAATACCTGTCTTGCTGCTTTCTCTTCACTTTTCTTTCTCTGTTCCTTAAGCCAAGGAGTCTGCATCTGTGGCCTCCCACCCTTTGGATTTGTTGCAGGTGGGTTAGGCTGTTCTGGTGCTGCTTCAGCCTTGCATGTTTTGGCAAAGTGGCCAAACCCACCACAGTTCTTGCATTGTTTCTTCACCTTTGGCTTCTTGCCCTCAGGTGCTGCAGAAGTGCCCTCCCCTGGTTCAAGCTTTCTCTTTTTTGCCTTAGGTCTTCCTGGCTGCACTTTCAGCATAGGTGGCAAAGGCTGTCTGTATTGGGTTCTCATATGCAGCCAAGTATGTCACCCTATAGTAATGTGGGTGCACATACAACTCAGGATCATCCCTTTTGTCCATTATGCAAGCAAATGCATGGACACAAGGTATTCTTGTCAACTCCCATCTATAACAAGTGCATTTTCTCTCTTGTAGATCCACAATGCACTGATCATCCTTGTATTTCACCTCATAAATTTCATCCCTTGAAGCTGTAACCTCACATGTCCTAGCATACTTCTCCAACCCATCAAAGACTTCGTTGACAAATGGGGTTAGTAAACCTTCCCAAGACTTTGCTGCCTCCCATTTGTCATTACTCCTCTTCATCATATATCTTCTAAGCCATTCCATTTGAGTTAGAATAGGCTTGTCTCTGGCATCTCTAATCACTGCATTAAATGTCTCACACATGTTGTTTAACAACATGTTAGACTTGCAGTTTGTAGAGAAAGCATGCCTTGACCAGTGCTGGGGGTCAATGTTTGACAGCCACTGGTATGCTTCTTCATCCAAAAAATTGATACTTTCCATAGCAACTTCAAACTCAAACTGATACAACCACACACATGACAACCATTCAACACAACATAGACACATGGCATACAGTTTTCACAAAATAGAAAGACATGCAAATATGTGCAAAACTAAATGTTCCTAGCATACATTATAGTTCACCATAAAACTGACATAAAAGAACCTAAATAGAAGCTTACCAGAGTGCTTGCCCTAGCAGCAGCCCAGAACAATTCCTTGAAAGTTGCACCATGAAATTTCAGTTTGAAATTTTACCAAATATGCCTCACACAAAATCTGAGCTCAGCTTTGGGGGCCACATCTGCAAATGCTTCTATGAGACCCTACACACAAGGCAAAACTAACAAGTTACTGTACAGAAAATTCAAATAAAGCAAAGTAATTTAAACACAAACACAACCCACTTACTTTCTGTCTGTCAGACATAAAAGTCAAGCCATCTCCTTGGTCATACACACAAAGTGCCTTGAGCAAGCTCTCCAGAAACCAGCACCAGCTGTCCTTGTTCTCAATCTCTGCAGTTGCCCAAGCAATTGGGAAGATGGCATTATTGCCATCTTTTCCAACTGCAACCAAGATCTGCCCAGGGTATGCCCCTTTTAGATGGCACCCATCCACCCCAATTACTGGTCTGCAACCAGAAATGAATCCATCCCTAAGTGCAGCTAAGCACACAAACATCCTCATAAAAATTGGTCTTTCAATTTGACTAATATCATCCACCACCACATTACACTCACTCTCTGAGTTCCATTTCAACAGTGCCTTCCCATAGTCCCAAACCTTTGAGTATTGCTCTGATGAAGAGCCATATATTATAAGCTTTGCCCTACTTCTAGCCAACCAAGCCTTGGAGTATGTAATTTTGATCCCCAAGTCATTCAAGGTCCTGTCCTGAATCTGTTTAATCTTCCATCTGGGGTTGCCCCTGAACTCCTCCAAGTACCTATCAGCAAGGAACTCTGTTGTCACCTTGTTGTTCATTTTACTCCTAACCCACCTATGCTTCAGCCTTAGTGTCTTAATTTTCCAAGCCTCTGATTTCACAAGCCTTGTTGCATAAAACTTGAACCTACACCTAACACCCTTACTACATGTACACTTCACTATCCTACAACTGTTCTTGTTATACACACACTTGCATTTCCTTTTGCAATATGCTGTTAGCCTCTTTGAATCATTGTGAAGAAGGTAATACTCATACCTATTTTCAATTGCATGTTGTCTCAAAGCTTTTCTCATTGTTTGCACATCACTGAACCTTTGACAAACTACAAATTTGATAGCCCTTTCAAAGTCTGTCTCAGGGTTAAACCAAGTAACACTACCCTGATCATCATCTGAATCACCTTCCACACTCTTTAGCTCATCAGAATCACAAGCTGCCTCCTCTTCAACCCTCACTTCAATTTTCTGTAGATTTCTTTCTATGTCAAACCCTGTGTCCTCATCATCACTTTGATCCCCTCCTTCAGTAACTCCCCTCAAACTGCCTTTCACCTCACTGTTAATATGGTCTAAATTTATCTTCAACCACTGTTCATCATCATCAGAGTATAAGTCCTCCTCTCCCTCATCAACTTCTAACTCAAAATCACTCAACTCGGAATCAGAAGACTCTGTATCACCATCCTCATCGGTAAACACATCACTGTCATCCCTTAAGCTCCTCACTCTTTCTTTTATTTTTCTCACTAAATTAGCAAAATTTCAAATCTCATCCCCAACCTTAGCCTTACCCTTATCTGCAGCAGTGAGTTTACCCTTCCCTTTATGTGTATTAGCATTCACTTTATCTTCCCTAGGAAGCCTCTCCTCAGCCTCTCTGTCATGTATAACAATGCCTTTTAACCTAGGGCTTCTCCTAAATGGCTCTCCTTCAGTGGGCTTACTAAGTTCTGGGCTGGGTTTATATACTTTAGGCCCACCAAACCTCTTTTTCAGTTCCTTCCTTTGTGCAGGGGTTAGCTCATTCCCATTTGAAGGGTGTTTTGTTAGTCCCTTCAATTGGCTCATGACTGGTAACATACATCTCACATGCCCCCTCTTTGTTCACAGACTCTAGGAAACCATTCACCTCACCATCAACAAGCTCCCTTTTACCATTCACCCAAGACTTGCCCTTTTGTTTATACCAGCAACTAAACCCCCTAGGAACCTTCACATTCACATACACAAACCCATGTATAGCTTCTTGCCTCAAAAAGTGTACATCTATCTTATTTTTTTCCACTTTTCTCATCCAATAAACCCACCCACCATCCCAAGTTAACACCCTCCTATTTTTACCAGCTAAAGAAGGTATAAAGGCACCCCCTACTGTAATTTTTAAGTCCACTGTGTCCATTCTGTAACAACACCATCAAAAGCACACACAACAATAACCAATTTCAGTAATTATCAGTAATTACAGTAAACAACAACAACCAATTCACCAATTACAGCAAGTAAAAGCAATTCACATTGACTATGCACTAAATTAACAGTAAACAAGTAAATCTAATTAACTAATTATTTAACAAATGCACACTCTAATTCAGTCAAAGATTCGCATAATTAGGGTTTATAATACTTTAATTCACAGATTCCCAAAAAAGGCATACTTTACCCCAATTGACAACCATAAATCCAACGAAATGTACTAATAAAGGGTTTAAAGTACCTCTTGTAGTCAGGAATCTCAATTTCTGTCAGCAAATTACCAAGCTTTTGGTCCCCTCACCCTGTTGAAGATGACAAGAGAAGCTGATGTGTTGCAATTTTGTGGTTCCAGCTCGATTTCAACCATCCAAATTGATCTAGGGTTTCAGTTTTTACAGAGAGAAAGAGAAAAATCAAAGGAGAGAGAAGCAATTACAGTGAGAATCAAGAAAAATCAAAGGAGAGAGAGACTAAAATTGATGAGGAAGTGAGAAATTTGGTGAGACATTGATTATGGAAGGTGGAAGGTGAGAAAAGGAGGAGACAGAGGGAAATCGATTTTAAAAGAATTAAATTGGAGGGACGTGACAGTTAACTGGGCCCCACAAGCGTTTTCCGTCACCTGAGCTCAGATGAGGTGGTAAAACTGATGTTTAATTTTTTTATGAGGTGGTAAAGTAAATGTTTTTTTTGGAGGTGGTAAATTCGACAAAGTCATTATTTGAAGGTGGAAAAATGAAAATTTCCTTATTTTAAATTAGATTATGATACCAGTTAAAGTTACTAGTCACTAATACAATATCTTACTTTGGATTAAAATTAAACTACTTATCAAAATTTATATTAACACAATTAAGGATGTATAGAGACTCAATCCCTACACAATTTATTGTATCAATCTGTCAAAATTACGGTTGCATAAACTCAAATCTGTAATACCACATCTTTAGCATCGGATTCAAACCTACATACGATACGTATTCCATGCGGTTTTCTTTTTTCCAATCAATGTTTGCGGTAGGGTACGTATGCCTTTGTATTTAGCCGATGAAAAGTAAAGGGAAACCCCTCCCTATTCGATTTGTGCCCTAACCGTCACAAGCGTGTAATTGGTGCACATGTGTTTACTTCCTAGTAATCTAGTGTAAGGCGTTTCATTCAAAGACTTATATCAATTTTATCTACCGGTGCTTGCATAGCCTAAGCTTTGAGTAATAGTCTAAATACTTGCCTCCTTTATGACATAATTTTTCTTTTTTCTTGAAATTGTTATAGTTAGAGCACGAATTGAACAAGGTAGGGTTGCCCCACACTTTTTATTGGCTGAGTGAAGAACATGTTTGAATTTCTCAAACAAAGTAAACTACAAGATTCCGTTAACGGGAATCACTCCACCAGCCTCACTCCGGCTGTGAGAAAATAAATTGGTGGTCACCGTTGTTTAATTTATTCACTTTATTTTAAATTTACATGTAACAAAAAATTATTCAATGAGACAGACGACATCATATCGCTTATTTGTATTATAGTGTACCTTTTGTAGTATTAATTGCACGTAAATGTCTATGCCAATGTTAAATTTTGTATTATTTTTATTGCACCTAAATAATTTCCAATTACTTGATTAAAAGTATTTTTACCAAACGATAATGATTAGTTTTCTATTAAACCTTATTTTTACCAAATTAAAATGATAATTTTCCGATTTTTTTAAGATTATAATTAGTATATATATATATATATATATATATATAATTAGTATATATATATATATATATATATATATATATATATATATATATATATAATATTCCGTAGGGATACTTTATTTTGCGTGGCCTTTAGTTGGGTGTAGGCTTAATCACTTAAACGAGCAACGAAGCTGATTATCTTCCGTGCCATTTAGATGTGGTCACACCAAGGAAGCTTCGGGCTTAAAATTTTAGTCCGCGACCAAGTTCAATCGATTAATTTCATGACCGCCCCCGTTAACTGCCTTACAACAGTGAAATGGGTAGTTCGGTAACAACATATGCTTTAGCGGTAACTACATAAGTGTCGCTTGGTAAGGGAAATGTAATCGTTTCATGCAGGGGCGACAATGACTTCAAAAAAGAAGTGTACCCCGAAGTTCAAGCCTAGTCTAGAGGGTCGCCTCAGTTGGGCATGAAGGCGTAGAGAAGGCCGTGAAAGAGCCCATCCGCTTATTTCCCGCATACTACGGTAACAAGCGATGCAGGCCCGGCTGCCAAACTAGCCTTCTCACATCCACCCTCGAGTGAGTGGAGAGTTTCTTAAAACATTTTAGGGAACATCGACAACAATAGAAATCGCTGAGAGGGGTTCTAAGGCACGTGTTCACTCCGTCTACCATGAAATCCCGTCGACCGCCTAACTAAATATGATCAAGCGCCAGCGTAACAACTTCGTACGAAAATGAAGCTGTACCGTGGATACTCCTCTTTTTAGCCGAACACACATCGGTACGCCTTTATCGTTTAATCATGTCATCGGAAGAAAAATTCAACTTCGCCAGCTCGAGCGGTTACGAGTTCGAGAGAGACCAAGGAACGCGGACGCATTTTACGATTATCAACACCTTAACGCGGTTTTCTTTTTTCCAATTAACGTCTGCGGTAGGATACTTGTGCCTTTGTGTTGAGCCTATTACAAGTGCGGGGAAACCCCTCCCCCCCCCCCCAACCCCGTGCGATTAGTTCCCTAGCCGTCACAAAAATACACTATCTTTTACTTATTATTAATTATTAGGATTTTTGCCTATGGGATTTTACCTTTCACTTGAAAGGACTTTTCCTTCATTTATAGGATTTAAGAGTTTTAGCCATTAGTTTATTTTTATTTTTTTTTTATGTTTGTATAGATTTTTTAGTTGGTTAAAATATCATTAGTAGATATATTAGGATAAGGATTCTTAATATTTTATCTTATTTTGGGATAAAATTATTAGTTTTGTATCTTATCATTGTACGATTTGTCACCCTATAAATATGGGTGTATATAAATAATAGTTTAAGAAGGAGAGAGATTTCGTATGGGATAATCCTTTGAGTGTTGCTCATTTGATTGTTAATAAACAAAAAATAACTTTTTGCGACATGTGATCATCTTCTAGTTGCGACTAGGAAGAAACCTTCTATTCCTACAAGAATTAGAGTATTATACTTTTAATTTTCGTGTAATTTCTTTAGTCCATATTAAAAATCCAAGATCCAATGTGATTATAGCTAGCGAGCTTTGTGAGAGTCTTCAGAGATAAACATCAAGACATTAATT